GTTTAACTGTCTTCTTTTGTCCAAATAGTAGTCTCGAGCTTCTTCGAAGTTGAAGACGTGAGCGAAGGCCGCGCAAACTAAGCGAGTGTCTGCCACTGTTTCTGATTCGTCCAATAGGACGGAGAACGGATTTATAGAAAGTGGAAAGGGAGTTCTAGGAATAATTGTACTAGTTCTAACTCGACAAGATGGTTGAGTGCGTAATCTAGTACGTACGGATCGAGGATTCGTTCCTCGTCGTAGTCTATGTATTCGAAAACTATATATTCGTCCAGCTTTCTAATCGAAGTAACCGTTGACCCAAACCGCACGAAGTGCTTTAAAAATCTGGACTCGGTTACGCCGCAGTCCTTTGAACGAGATCCCGCCGATCTGTTTCAATCCTGAGTCCCAGCGATTCCACTTCTCGATACTGATGACGCGTGAGACGTCTTTGAGGGTGCGATCAAGGTGAGCGAGGCAGTCGCGAAGCTTGAAGACGGCGTTGATGTCGTCGGTTAGAACGTCGGGGCAGTCGAGCGACTCGAGCACGTTGAAGCGCTTGAGGGTGGCAGCAAATTTCGGCGCGAAAATGTGGGCGAGGTCGGCGGCCGTGTAGCGAGAGAAGTCGATGGTGACGGGCTTCGGGGCGATGGGAGTGTAGGTCGGGGCAGCGGTGAGGCGATCCGCTAGAGAACGGCTGGAAGAGGCACTGGCGTGCGCGTTTTGCCTAGCGCGGGCTTGGTCGCGTTGTGCCTGGAAGTGCTGGCGGTCGTCGTGAGCCGCGAGCTTGGCCTGCTCGACTGCGTCCCAGTCGATGGTAGGGAGAGCGGTGGACGGAGGCGGGAGTGTAGAGACGTGCCTAACGACGGCACGGAGCTCGGTGGTAGTGTACTGGTGTGGGACGCCTGCTTCGCGTTCTCGACTAAGTTGGTCGAATACGGCTTCGGGCAGCGCGCGTCGGAGGCGTGGGTGACGCTCGTCCGCGAGGCATTTGAAAGCGCGGGGGCGGTCGGGCAAATCCTTCGGCACTGGTTTTATGCAGGGATTAGCGCTATGCACGTACGTCTGCCACCAATTGCCGAAGAGACTTACTCTTCAAACGGTAGGAATAAACTTTTTTAAAACTGTGCACGGGGCACTGGATAGGGGGGAATAGTCCGGGTGCACGAAGATCTCAACCTAATGATGTGGACTTGCGTCGACACACCACGAGAGATACTGCGTGGATCTAATCAAAAGGCGGCGCCGACGAGGTCTGGCGACTAATGTGTTAGCTTGTTCAGCTAGCCCAATAAACCAAGTAGTATTTAGTGACTGTACTGCGATACAAACAAAGGCTTACCTAGCCCAATAAACCAAGAGGTTGAGATGGGGCTAGGTAGCGACAAAGGGACTCCTTATATACTAGTCAGGCTGCACACGGACCAGGCGTTACATAAGCGACTGTGCTACGGCGTTTGCTAGTATCTGGGGGACTTTGGCAGAGAAGCGAGGGCCGGTGTGTCATAGCGGCGACGAGGCGGCGGCGATGTAGGCGCATCTGATGCGCTGATGCGTGCCCGTCGGTGATGCATTCTCGAGGTGTTAGTGCGCGGCTATGGCTTGTAAACTGGCGCCTATGCACCAACGACGTTTGGAGGGTCGTATAATCGTGGAATAAATTGGAGAAAATGGAAATAAAATAGGAGGCCGGGGCTTCGCCCACGACAGTAAGGCTTGGCAAATAGGTGCCAGCATATACCTTAGGTTTGTTTCTGTTATTCAAGGTGTTGCAGGTAGACAATCAGGTCTATCTTTTGAAGTAACATCTTCTGTGTTAGTGCTTACTCTTGTACCACCTGTCTTTGTCTAGGCGTCAACAACTCAGTGCTGCCTTTTAGATATCTCTTCTGCGCTAGCAGTCTTATACAAGTGAGACGGCTACCCCTTACACAATTACGTGTCTTCTCTTATCCCCTGCCTACACAACTTATTCTAGTGGTCTTCCCCTCCTCAATGAACACCCGAGGCAGAAGTTGATCTTATGTCTGATCCACCTAACTTGGATAAAGTGCGGTTGTTTTAAGTGGCTAGTTCCACGGTCATTCAAGTGTGTCTTGCCTACCGTCTTTCGCCGCCCTTTTACACCACAATAGTGCGTATCTTTGGAGCATGTATTTTGGGAGCCTCTGGGCCACTATCTTAAAACAGATGGCTTTTAGGCAAGTTGAATGTTTGTATCAGACATTCAAAATGACTGGAGTCCATTAAATGTTAGGTCTAGGAGTGGACAAGATATTGGAGGTGTGGGCACGGTGGTTGGGTGTGTAGAGAAGATGAGGTTGCATGTGCACACATGAGGAGCAATCCAAAACAGGCAATTTGCAGATACAGCACACAAGTTTGACCTCGATCTCACTCACCTCGTGTCCAATAGCTTTAAAACTTGGTATCATAGTAGATGGGACTCATTACAACATTATATTGCAGCCGATTTCAGTACTATGTTCATATGGCTGTGCTATGCACAGGATATTGCGGGGTGGTCTGCTTCCTAGTCCAGTCCGGTACCTGATTGGATACAGTAATAGTCAACAAAAGCACCTGACCATGATGGTATCCCACCATTTTTGAGCCCCGCAAACCTTCCCATTTGCTCATAGGTGTACCAGAAGAGCTAATTGAATTTTAGGGCACAGAAAAGCACTGGTAAAATGCTTGTTTCATAGTTGTGTGTAAGAACATACTGGCCAATGACTGTATAGAGAGAGGTCCACAGAGTCTGGAGTGACTCGGCATTCTGCAAACATGATGGACCATGCAACCTTGGTCGGCCAGTCATCTGCAAGAAATAAAGTCGTCAACATCTTGAAAGCATTGAGAAGCAGGTGGCTCTTCATCAGGTTTTCGACAGGTTCGCAAGAGCAGTCGGGTGCTACTAGGAGTGTTAGTCTCGTGCTAGGCAGCCTGCTCTGTAGGCATACAAGTGTAACTAGCCCTCCACACTGGGGGGATAGCTCCCTTAAAAACAACCATGGGAACCGCTTCTTGAAGAATATCTCAAACGATGAAGACAACAATGGGTAAGCTGGCTTCACTTTGTCGCACGCGCAACCGCCACGAGCCTGTCGGAGATCGAATCTGGTGATGACGCCTGCGTAAACTGCGGGCGTTCGAACTTTGCTGCGGAATCGGACATCAGGCCGGAAGTAGCCTCTCTGGTAGTTGTGAGGACTTTACAAGTATTGACACTCATATGCATGATGCATGCGCATGCCTGGATTGCTGCGCACAGAGTTCTGTACAGAAACCCGTAGACGTCGAGGACTAACTGCGTGAGCGGACCAGACCATGCTGATTCAATTCTGCGGCAGCTGGGGTTGAATCTAAGCATGGAGACCTTAAAGGCGAACGAGACGGAGCGGTATCTGTACTGCGGCATCGCAGTAAAATTGTAAGCTCAAGGTTCCAGCTTCGGGGGTTGAACGGGCCCGAATCGGGAGGCAAACAGCTCCGTATCAGCGCGTTCGTTCTGCACAGATCTTTATGAAGGGGGCAGCCGGCGTAGTGACTGTTCAATTTTTCTATAAAAGACTGCATTGAACAGGAGATTCGACCGAGACCGCGCTCGCTATGCAACCCACGACGGCCAGAAGGACACTGTTAGGTCGCAGGCATTACACTATCAGTGTAAATTACATCCAAGTCCCCCGTTGCTGAAGAGTACTACGACGCCAGCTCGATGTCGAACGACAGAGAATGCGTAATTAAGTGCGCCTCCCGACGGCATTGCATTGAGCAATCATAGATGAAAGACTACTCTGTCGCAAGGATCCGAGTATCCGTGACGGCAGACACTTTGTCGCTGCAGCGTCAGATGTGGCGTCCTGGGTCTGGATCAGTAAGGCATAGCTGGGAGAATATTGCTAGCAAAAGGTATGGCAACAGCAGCTGGAAGGGGCTCACCACGGGTTGCTGGCTGTCTGAGCGCGGCCATAGAAGTAACCTGACGTCTGCAGTGAGAGTTGTCCTGTGTCTGGTCGGAGAGTGAGGTTTTGACGCACACCACAGTGCTCTATCATCGGCCCAGAGCTCGTCGGCGTCATCTGTCAGCTGCAGAACAGCAGCATCCGAAACATTCTGAGTTAGCAGAAAAGACACGGACTCCCTTCGCCCTTTTGCCCTGGGCCTTCGGCATCGCACCCCTCTTCAAAGTGAAGCGTATATTCATGTTCTGAGTAAGCTGGACGTATATCTGAGCGTGTTGTACTAACTGCTTCGGAAATTGCACATAACCGTTCCTTATCGAGACCTGTCGCTATTAGCACAGACGGCGAGGACACTATCTTTAGCTACCGCCAGGTACATGATGTGCTATTTGTGCTATGCCTCTTCTATGCTAAATCCGATAATCGCATGGTGGCAGTTGAAGTGATAGGCGGGTGTGGCACTGTACTGCCGAGCCGCAACTTAGGCAAGCAAATTCGCAGGTCGACCCTATCAGCGGGAATAGCGGTTCTACGGCCATCAGGTGGGTCCATCTGGAGCAGAAGGTGGGTGTGGGCGTACTAGCCGTTCATGTCAAGGCTCGCAGGTCACCGCCAGGACGGTGCCGCATGCGTCGTGCGATACGCGTCTTTTTTCAGTAACGAGTTACGTCACTCCCGGCCGACCTCACCCTTGGCGCCCGAGTTGGGATCGTGCCTCGCGTATTCGTCTCTCTTCATCTAATACTTTTCACTGCTTTCAGCTGCTGCTCCTGGTACTACACACTGTATAGTGTACCACCGACTATTCCCATCTTCTCAGGCCGAGCCCTTGAGAAGCCACCACTGCTTTCTCGTCTGCAAAACTACCCGACCCGGGGCTCAGTCTGGCCCTACATATGCTATCGCCGTCCTCGCTGTTCAGTTATCCATGTAAACAATCACCAATCTTCAACCTTCTCCTTGTACTTGTGATTTACATTTGCGGCGACTCACGGTCTCTGAGAAAATGTTACTAGCCCTTTGTCAGTCCCTGGGCGTTATGTCCTACCAGGACCCACTTAGGGTTCCGTCATGTTCCCTTGGGCACGAATTTGCTCATAGTAGGCGAGCGAAATCATCAAGGCGGGTGCATATAATAAGGAGCATGGCCACCTCACCTCTCATCACCTCACCACTCTCCTAGCTCCTCTACTCTCAACAACATGTCTCTCCCACTCTCAGGCAAAGTCGCACTTGTCACCGGCTCCTCTCGCAACATCGGTGCCGCTGTCGCCAAACGTCTTGCAGACGACGGCGCAAGCGTGGTCATCAACTACAACGGCAGCGAAGGCGCGGCCAATGAGCTGGTGGAGAAGATTAACGAGGAGGGGAATGGCAAGGCCGTCGCCATCCAGGCGGACGTGTCTTCCACTGAGGGGGGAAACAAGCTGATCGAGGAGACGGTCAACCACTTCGGGCAGCTGGACATCCTCGTCCTGAACGCGGGCATGATGAAGAACGTGTCCTTCGACGCTATCGACGAGAAGCTCTTTGATGACCACTTCACCGTCAATGTGAAAGTGCCCCTTTTTATGGTGAAGACCGCGTCGAAGCATTTGAAGGCTGGTATGTCACTCCCCTTGCACGACATTCGTCCCGTCTTTCTCACTGTCGCGTTCATCCAGGCGCACGTGTAGTCTTCTTTTCCTCCGCAACCACCAAGTTCTCGAGCGTCCCGCCGAACTACCTTATCTACACTGCCACGAAGGGTGCCATCGAGCAGATGACCCGCGTGCTCGCCAAGGACCTTGGCGCGAAGGGCATTAACGTGAACGCGATTGCACCTGGCCCAACCGATACCGACCTCTTCCGCGCTGGCAAGAGCGAGCAGCTCGTCCAGTTCTTCTCCAACTTGCATCCTCAGAAGCGGATTCCTCAGCCGAATGAAATTGCGCCTATCATCGCGTTCTTGTCGCGAGATGAAGCAGGTTGGATAAACGGACAGACAATCTTTGTCAATGGAGTGAGTAAACTGTCGCTACTGGAGGAACTATCCACTGAGTTGGTGTCGTTCAGGGATACGCTGTATGAACAACAACTGGAAAATGCACTGTGTGCGCTATGTAATGATGAGCATAATAAATGTCGAGTTTCGTTCAGCATAGCTCTCTCGGGCCGAAGGGTGCACGCACGAGACTAGGATTAGACGCCTGCGACTGTTCATTCGTTGAGCCCAAGTTGCTCACTGTCCGTTTTCTTCCGCTATCGCACATCGTCAGCACATGCGCATACTGGGTCTAGTACTGTCTCTTGGTAATCGATATCGCACATTCATGAGCCTGGTGCTGTGACTCGACCTGACTCGGTGGTGTCTATCCGTATGATTCTTAACTCGTGCTACGAACACAATATGCGAGCACACTTCAAGACGCACAGTATCTGTCCCTCTGCTAACGATACTTTATAATTCAAGCATCTCATCTACTTGACTACCTTCTCTGCTTGCGCCTACCATGACTGAAACACCGCACATCAAGATCGGCCTCTGGGACTATGTGGGCACGACGCCCCCACCTTTCGGCCATCCCATGCGTCAGTTCTGGGCATTCGATCCGAAGTACATCAACCTGAACCATGGTCTGTCCCTCGTCAGCAATGCATCGCTCTTGGTAGGGCTGACCGCCCGACAGGATCGTTCGGAGCACCGCCGACGCCTGTCCAGAGCGCCGCGAATGTCCTGGCGGACATCATCGAGGAGAATCCAGACAAGTTCTTCCGCATCAACTGGTACCCGATGCTCAGCTCCGTGCGCGAACGCCTCGCCAAATTCCTCGGTGCGCGCAAGGAGGAGATCGTGCTCGTGCAGAACGCAACGGTCGCCGCAGCGATAGTGCTCCGCAACTTCGTCTGGAGGGAGGGCGATATACTCATCGGTGGTGCGTTCTGTCGTGAGTGGCGAAGTCATTCGCGATGCTGACGGGCTCGTGTTTAGCGACGACTACATATATGGGAGTCTTCAAGAATATCGTACATGTGTCCGACACCAACCCCCAGCTGACGGTTGCGAACTTCGAGCTCAACTTCCCGAAGAGCAACGAGGAGATCTTGAAGGACTTCAAGGCACACCTGCGCGCAATACCTCGAGTGGCCGCGTCCCCCGCCAACCCGGACCCCAAGGTCGTATGCGTGATGGACAGCATAGTCAGCAGTCCGGGCATCTTGCTGCCATGGCGGGAGATGGTGAAGATCTGCCGCGAAGAGGGCGTGTTCAGCGTCGTAGACGCTGCGCATAGCATCGGACAGGAGGTGGGGGTCGACTTGGAGGCGGCACAGCCGGATTTCTGGTTTGCGGTACGTTCTTGTCTTTGTACACGTTCGTGGAGGGAAGGCTGACTCGGACCAGAATTGTCACAAATGGTTGTATGCGAAGCGCAGTTGTGCAGTGCTTTATGTCCCGAAGAGGTTCGTGTTATCATCATGTTGCTATCCTACTTGCGTGCTAAGACATCGTACAGGAGCCAGCATATAATCAAGACAGGCTTTCCTTCTTCCCACCAATACACTTCGGATGGCTCACTAGTGAAGTCCGACTGGATGAACAAATCAGAGACGAACGGCGATGAATGGGCAGTCCCGTTCTCATGTGAGTATTGTCGCTTTCAAGTTACCCTGAGACTTACTGATAATGTCTTCGGCAGGGTCGGGCACGATGGACTTCGTGCCATACCTCACCGTCAATGCGGGTGCGCCCGTTCAAGCTATACTTTGTGCCATACAAAAGTCGCTGACAGTTCACCCCACATAGCGATGGACTTCCGCGAGTGGGCCGGCGGCGAAGAGAAGATCAACTCCTACTGTCGGGATCTCGCACGCGAGGGCGGCAAACGCATCGCAGAGATCATGGGCACCCACGTCGTGGACGAGTCGCCCGACGCCGTGCAGACACTGAACATGGCCAACGTCGAACTCCCGCTGTATGACGTGCCAGCGGATAAGATCGAATTTGCGCAGGGGGTCTTCCGCGACAGGCTCCTGCTCGAGTACCAGATGTACGCGGCGCACTTTTACCACAATGGCAAGTTTTGGACGAGATTGAGCGCGCAGATTTATAACGAGGTGGGTGGCACTCCATCTTTTAGTCATTTGCGCGGCGCGTGGCTAAGCTTGTGCGTAGCTCTCGGACTTCGAGAAGTTGGGAGAGGTGTTTCTGAAGGTCTGCAAGGAGATTAAGCAATCTATAGACAAAGAGGCCAAGGCGTCGGCCGAGCCTTGACAAACGCTACGTAAAGTACCTCTACAGTTACATGCAGTTTCTAGCTAGCTTGTTGATTTTGGTCACGATATTGGATCCCGGAGAGCAACTCGTCTGACGAAATCTACACCCTCAGAAAACTCTTCAATCTCACCCTCGAAGCGCATACTCGCTCTGTCTAACCCTTCCTCCTGCCCCTGCCTCCAGCTGCGGTTTCCTGCTCAATCACCTACGTCCCCCATGTGGTCGCTCCTTTGCTCCTGCACTGCCCCATTTGCTTTGTTACGGACGGCGCCAACCTCAACGACTCGGTCGAAATTCCCCTCGCCGTCTTGCTCCGCTTCACCGTGCCCTTCGAACAGGCTTGCTGCATACCGCGGACTGCTGCGACTTGCCGCCACGTTTACTGTTGCTGCATCACTGGCCTCGGAACGGGTTCCCGATGGATCGACATCGAGCGGGGGCGAAGGTTGAGTTTGCGAAGGGCTGGTGTCGGCGACGACCGGAACGTTCGTAGTTGACGAGCCGACTTCGGTTGTCTCGGGAGAGTGTGTCTGGGGTGATAGCAGTATAGATGACGCAGGGGGATAGCCAGCACCCGGAGTTGGATCAGAGAAGGCACGATCTCGCGAAGCCGCCTCGCGCACAACTGCCTGCGCGCCCGATGAGCCGTGCCCCTGGTTGGCCTCTGCCGGACGCGCAGCATCTGTTTGTGTCGGGGGAGGGGAGAGCACCCTGGCCTGCCCGCCCAGGCGGCGGACGACGTCCGCGAACCCAATCCTCGGCCGCACCGTGCGAGTCTCGTTGTGGGAGGCCTCACTCGGGGCGCTGTACTGCGTGTCCAACGAGGGGCGTCCTTCCGAAACCGGGCTCTCGATGAGCGCGGTGGCACTGGAAGTGGCCCTGCGTTCCCTGCGAGAGAACGATCGCGGGAGCATGGGGAGGTAGATGGGAGGGGGAGGGGACAGGCTCCCCGAGGAGCCGATGCTCGATTCTGTGTGCTCCCTAGACCGCAGGAAGTAGAATTCTGGATATCCAGGCGAGACGGGGGAAGATGGCCCGAGGACGGAGTTCCGCCGTTTGGAGAGAAGAGGACAGGTGCCCCAGATGCGCGTGCAGTTGTGCGATGTCCATGGGCACAGGGGGTCAACCTCGCATTGAGGGCGTTCTTTGTGGGCTGCCACGAGGGCGTCATGTAAGTGTGAATGGATCTTGTCCTGTGGGCCAACTAGCAGATCCTTGCGGAACGCGTGCCCCAGGGTATGAAGAAGTCGTCGGAAGCGGGCCCCGTGGAAGACAGTGAGTGGGTAGCTCTTGCGATACAGCTCAGAGATCCAGAGCAGGTCCCTGCGCTCTCGCGAGCTGATGCCCCTGTGAGTCCGGCCATCGATGGCCTTAGCAACAGTGATCATCTTGTCCAGGGCTTTGGTCACGGCAGATAGAGAGGAGTTTGTTCCGCCGCTTCCGAACCAGAAAACGAAGGTGAGGATGACCAGACTCAAAAAGTTGTCGTTGGCACCGTTGAGCTTGTCAGTGAGATAGTCGATGAGCGACTCGTGGTCTGAAGTGGTCATCCTCCCTTCAGCTTCGAAGACTGTATTGCGGGATGTGTTAGCGCTCAGAGTACTGCGGGAGGTGGGTGGCGGACTGACCTAACCCAGTACGATCTGGAGAAGCCTTGACCTTGCCATTCCGCATAGCAAGTACGAAGATATCTGGGGAGGCTTGGGCAATGACGGGGGACCTCTCTGGTTCCATGTGCCCTGTCGCTTCTAGGAGCAAAGCCCACAATTCCTTCTCGGTAAGCGCGTCTGGGAGGATCGCAAGAGAAGAGAAGAGCTCCATCGCCCTCTGTCTTGCGGCCCGGGTGGCTATTGCATGGGATGAGCGTGTAGCAGCAATAGTCGAGAAGTGCTTGATATCCGCCCTGGATAGCTGTGTAATACTTGGGATAAGAAGGGATAACGATCGCGAGACACTTGGTCTTGGGGTTTGTAGTCCGTGACAGAGGACAGAAAGGCGACCGTCGTCATCCACATGCACTCCCGATCGTCTTCGTAGCTCTCCAAGTTCGCCAGACTTGTCTCTAAGGGCTTTCGGGTCCCCAAGCAACGCACGGTATGGCTCATCAGGATTATGATCATCCTTGACAGATGTGAGGAGACACCAATCCGTCAGCATGCGTATCTGGTCGTCCCAGCCAGAAAGGGATTCGCCATACGCTTCCAACAGGTCAGAGTGAATGGATGAGATGCATTTGTCAACGTAGTCGCTGACGCGCGCGTCCTCTGACGATTGGCGTGCCCATGATAGGGCTCGGAGAAGACGAGAGGCTGAAGCAATATTGACGAGGAGGACTCTGGCGGCCTGGTTCAGCGTACTGGACTGGGCTATTTGATCTGCAGTCTCTCCGTTGCGTGGGAACCGGGCTTTCTCCCTGACGAGCTCGGCTTTCGCGGCTTCGTGCAGGTCAATTGGCTTGGACCATCTTCCAACTCGAATGGTCGGGGAGAAGCAGAGGTCAATGTCCTGATCCCTCCACGTCGAAGGCACATCCCAGGTAATTTTGGAGATATGATCTTGCCAGACGTCATGGCACAGCTCGAACTCCAATGGGGTATGGCCTAGGCATACTAGGAATACGACCACGTAAAGGAATGACTCTAGGAGGAACGTTGCGCACAGTATGAAAAGCCAGTACGTGAAATCGAATGCTGAAGATGCAGCCCTCACGGCTGCGAGGAAAGCCCAGGCCGTCGGAGAGCGGTACGGGCACCGTTTGGAGAAAACGGGTGTCACAGTGAAAGCGCAGATGATGCCGGTGAAAACGGCGCCGAAAAAGGTTATGACTTGCGCGACGACGTCGTCCAGGGTCCACAGCAGAATGATGATCCCGGCGAGGAATTCGAACATGCCGAGCTCCAGTAGGATGGGGATTGTAGAGATGATAGCGGCGACACGCCAGGCTTCCCAAGCCTCGATACGGATTTGCCGCACAAGGACGTTCTCGCGGGGAGTAGCCGAAGGGGAGTTCCATTTCATATACTCGCGAAGCCACTGCTTGGCCAGTATACCAAAGAGTGCGGCGGCAAGGCTAAAGAGAAGGCTGAGGAAGAATAGGGTGTTGATCCATCGGACTGAAGCGGATGGAGTAAAGGGCGTGGGAGATATAGCTGCGTGAGAAATGAGATCTGGGTTTAGGGAATCAGGTAGGACTGTTCCGGTAGTATATAGATGCGTCTGTATGCTAAGAGCAAGGAGTTGGTTTGTGGTGTCCAGCCCGCTGGGTTGGAGGGATGGATACGTCTGTGTTATGAACGCTGTGAGTATAGCCGAAAAGAGACCGGCCTTGAAATGGGGAATTAGTGTCACGCAAACGCCAGTGGAGCGAATTTGTGACTTACAAATACGAGCAATGTGTCAATGTCGTCGACATAGTCGTCCATTTCTCCGCCATCGTGCGTTGAGAGATGTTCCTCGACACCCGCCCAGCAGAAGAGAGGAGTCTCTTCGGGACGCTGATAAGAGAATTAGACTCTGGGATTCATCTCGAGAGCCACGTATACATACGAGGTCGGGCGTGGCCGCCGCATGGTCTTTCTGGCGGGTGCCCCGGCTGGGACTAAACAAGGGCGTAGAAGGCCGTCGTGACATGGCGAATAGCCTGCCAAGCAGCCAGCTCTGCAAAAAAAAAATTATAAATACAAACAAGAGGAGATAGGATGAGTGTAGAGGGCAAGTTGTGGGGGCGTGCCACTCGCACGCCTGCCGGTCTTCAGTTCCTCACAAAGGCGCCGTCGGGCGTCCTTGGGTATGCCGAGCTGCCGGACGCCACCACGATTTGTCTAGTGCTGCACGCACGTGCGCCACGTCGTTGGCTCCCTTTGACAGAATATTGCGACAATGTTCTCAATTTTATTATGGGGGCTCGAGTGATTTTATTATAGACTGAGTACTCGTGTGCACAAGCTGGGCACGAGCTGCTTGAGACGAAGCGCACGCAAGAGTGCAGCACAGCAAATAAATATCTTCAATGCGCTTCTCAAATAAACTGTCTTTTTCCGATGTACATACAGTAGATATGCGTATAATATATGCACCGCACGACATAGAACGCTATACCGTCCTGACATGCACCTGCGCGGCCAAAACACGACAACTCCTCACTCAAGGGAAGGTTGGATCACGAACCACTTATCAAAAACCATGTTGGGATCGAATTTGCGTTTGATCTGCTGTAATCGGAGGTAGTTATCTCCATATAGCGCTTGGGCTCTAGCGGACTTGGCTTCTGCGGTCGGTAGAGCGGCTTCGGTGTCCGCGTCTAGTGATGTAATCAAACGACGGAAGATCGAAGAATACACAGAATGAGTACGCACTGTAGTTGCCATACTGTGGCCCGCCAATCTTCAAGGGTAACTCGATCATTTGCTGGGCGATCCGCTTCGCCTCTTCCAGGAGCTCTGGTTTATTCTCATCCCATATGACATGCGCGAGGCCATTGCCAAGACCAGGTCGATTACGGGAGTAGGCGGTTTCGCCGTTCGGGACATTATTGATCTTGGCCTGAGGCATGTACTCGAAGGCGAGGGTTGACTGATTGAATGGCTTCTCTGGATTGGTCAGCTCCGTGACCTCATCAAAGGTCTCACGGGTCAGGACTTTCTCAGCGCGGTCGACGAGAAAGCTTCGGAACCAGTGGCACTTGCCAGGACTCAACCAATGATCCTTTTAGGGAACCCGAGTTATGTTAATGACCGATGTGCATCGTGTAGGCAAGTTCTCACCCTGAAAGAGTTGAACACTTCATAGGGCATTTCCTGGCGCATGTCCATGACAGACCCTGCATCGTCATACTCAGTCATTTAATTTTCAATGTAGCATGATGGCCAACCCACCGAGATCCGTAAATGCCTTGAAATTCTCCCGCCCTTCAGCTTCCGACCCATTGTAGAGCATGAGGAGCATGATATTCGGCTAGCAATGCATGCATTATATCAACATAGAACGCACAGCCGCAAGCTGTCATGGACCTACATTACCGTCGAATCCACGCCCCAAGACAACGTGCATACCCTCCTTCTCTCCAGCGGTAGGATACCATTTCTCGATAAGCTGGGCAATGGCCTCTAATTTGTCCGGGGAGAACATCACGGCACCGCCGAATACTGTGCGGCGCTGAGGATGAAGTCGAAAGACAAACTCGGTGACGATGCCGAAGTTGCAGCCGCCTCCGCGAATGCCCCAGAACAAGTCGGGATTCTCGGTCTTGCTAGCAATGCGGACGACACCATCCGCCGACACGATGTTCGCAGAGACCAGGTGGTCTATAGTGAGACCATGCATTGGGGCGAGCCAGCCATAGCCACCTCCGAGAGTAAGTCTAGGATTATCTTAGCATAATATCCATTCCCAGAATTGAGAGCTTCTTACCCGCCAACGCCCGTCTGGAAGCCATTGTGAGGGGGAGAACACATGTGATGAGTGCTAATTAACTTACATGACTGACTATTCCGCCTGTCATGGCAAGGCCGTGTGCCATGGTGGCCTTGTCCACATCGGCCCACTTCGCCCCACCCCCGACATACGCGAGACGAGCCTCTGGATCGACCCTAACACTATTCAAGTAGCGACTGAGGTCAATGACAAGCCCGTCTTCGACGGACGATGCGCCGTTGGGGCTATGACCGCCGCCGTGAATGGCTAT